AATGGAGAAGAGAATATCTGAGGAAAATCAGAGAACATTTACTTTATATACTTGTACTCTGATGATGTACTTTCTTATAATTATTATAGATTAAGTAAATAATGAGGAAACTACCAAAATGTGAACATAAAGCATCCTGGAATATTTTTCTAAATGATGCTATTTTACACAAGAAGTACAATCACAGAGAAACTGAAATCCTCACAGGTCATTTCAGGATTAGTTTGTCTACTGATGACACTTTAAAAAAAATTTTTTTTTTAATGTTTATTTATTTTTGAGAGAGAGAGAGAGAGAGAGAGAGAGCAAGCATGAGCGGGGGAGGGGCAGAAAGGGAGACACAGAATCCAAAGCAGGCTCCAGGCTCTGGGCTGTCAGCACACAGCCCGACGTAGGGCTCAAACTCACAAACCATGATATCAGGACCTGAGCCGAAGCTGGACACTCAACTGACTGAGCCACCCAGGCACCCCTACTGATGACACTTTAAAAAAAAAAATTTTTTTTATGTTTACTTACTTTTTGAGAGAGTGTGTGTGTGTGTGTTGGGGAGGGGGGTACAGAGAGAGAGAGGGAGGCACAGAATCTGAAGCAGGTTCCAGGCTCTGAGCCCGATGTGGGGCTGGAACCCCAAAACCAAAACCATGAGAGCATGACCTGAGCTGAAGTCAGTTGCTTAACCAACTGAGCCACCCAGGGGCCCCCCTTATGACACTTTTCAGGACTCCTCAGATTTTATTCAAACTGTAAGGGATTATGTCTTGATTACTCTCCCAACGACAACACTAAAAACTGGGCTTAGCACAGACAGAAGGCATACAGAGTGGCTTTTTATAAGATAATACTAAAAAAGATGAAAAAATACCTTAAGGGGTTTGGTGCTGTTATGTTGAATTATATGAAACTGCTGCTAATCAATAGTTCAACTTTGGTATAATGCTTTCTTGAGGATAGATTATACCTCTATGGACTATCTGATCTTCGATAACTCACTCACTAGCTGACAATCTTCACTGTCCGGAGCATTAATTTCTTTCTCACTACAGGATATGCTGAACTACAGGTCTCCTATGAAAAAACTACATAAAACACATTTGGACTTTTATTTCAGTGAGTCTACCAAGATAATGAGAAACGATAAGAGATACTGCAGATTCAGTTACAGACCACCATAATAAAGCAAATATTGCAATAATGTCAACTGAAGTTTCTGGTTTCCCACTGCACATAAAAGTTATGTTTATACTATACTGTAGTATAGTAAGGATACAATAGGATTATGTATTTAAAAATGTGTATGTTTCAATTTAAAAATATTTTATTGCTGGGGGTGCCTGGATGGCTCAGCCAGTTAAGCATCCGACTCTTGATTTTGGCTCAGGTCATGATCTCACAGTTCATGAGTCTGAGCCCTGCTTGAGGACTTCTCTCTCAAAATAAATAAACTTAAAATGCTAACCATTATCCAAGCTTTTAGTGAGTCACCTTTTTGCTCATGGAAGGTCTTGCCTTGGTGCTGCTGGCTGCTGCCTGACCAGTGGGTGGTTACTGAAGGATGGGGTGGCTGTGGTAATTTCTTAAAGTAAGACAACAATGAAAATTTGCTGTCAACACTGATTGATTCTTCCTTGGACAAATGATTTCTCCATAGCATGCAATGCTGTTTGGTATTTTACCCACAGAGCTTCTTTCAAAATTGGAGTCAATCCTCTCAAACTCTACTGCTGCTTTATCCAACTAAGTTTATGTAATATTCTAAATCTTCTGTTGTCATTTCAACAATCTGCACAGCATCTTCACCAGGAGTAGGTACCATCTCAAGAAACTATTTTCTGTGCTTATCCATAATAAGCAACTCCTTACCCATTCAGTTTTATGATGAGATTATAGCAATTCGGTCACACCTTCAGGCTCCAATTCTAATTCTAGTTCTCTTGCTATTTCTACCACATTTGTAGTTACTTCTTCCACCAAAGTCTTGAACCCTTCAAAGTCATCCAGGAGGACTGGAATCAACTTCTTCCAAATGCTTGTTCATGTTGACATTTTGAGCTCTACCCATGAATCACCATGTTCTTAATGGCATCTCAGAATGGTGAATCCTTTCCAGGGGCACCTGAGTGGCCCAGTTGATTAAGCGTCTGACTTTGATTTGGGTTCAGGTCATGATCTCACAGTCTGAGTTGGAGCCCCTCATCTGGCTCTCTGCAGAGCCTGCTTTAGATCCTCTGTCCCCTCTCTCCCTGCCTTTCCTCCACCCACGCACTCTCTCCCTCTCTCAAAAATAAACATTAAAAAAAACAAAACAAAAAACAACAGTGAATCCTTTCCAGAAGGTTTTCAATGTACTTTGCCCAGATCATCCAGAGGAATGACTATCTATGGCAGCTTTAGTCTTACAAAATGTATTTCTTAAATAGTAAGACTTGGAAGTCAAAATTACTCCTAAGCTGCAAAATGGATGTTGTATTAGCAGGCATGAAAATAACATGAACCTTGTACATCCCACCAGAACTCTTGGGTGACCAGAATCATTTTCAATGAGTAGTATTTTGAAAGGAATCTTTTTGCTCTGAGCAAGTTTCAACACTGGGCTTAAAATATTCAGTAAACCATGTTGTAAACAGAAGTGCTGTTATCCACTTTATTGCTCCATTTATAAAGCACAGGAGAGTAGATATAGCATTATTCTTTAGGGCCCTAGGATTTTCAGGATGGTAAATGAGCACTGGCTTCAACCTAAAGCCACCAGTTGTATTAGACTCTAACAGGAAAGTCAGCCTGTCTTTTGAAGCTTTAAAGCCAGGTACTGACTTCTCCTCTCTAGCTATGGAAGTCCATCTAGATGGACTAAATCTTCTTCCACTAAAAGGCTGTTTCATCTTCACTGAAAATCTATTGTTTAGCGAAGCCAGCTTCATAATGATCTTAGCTAAATCTTCTGGATACTTGCTGCAGCATCTACATCAGCACTTGTTGCTTCATCTTGCCCTTTTATGTTATGGAGATGGCTTCTTTCCTTAAGCCTCACAAACCAAACCTGTGTTAGCTTTAACCTTTTCTTCTGCAGCTGCCTCACCTTTTTCAGCCATCACAGAATTGAAGAGAATTAGGCCCTTGCTCTGGATCAGGTTTTGGCTTAGGGGAATGTTAAGGTTGGTTTGATCTTCTATCCAGATCACTCAAACTTTCTCCATTTCAACAGTAAGTCTGTTTCACTTTCTTATCATTCATGTGCTTGCTGGAGTAGCACTAATTTCCTTCAAGAACTTTTCCTTTGCATTCACAACTTGGCTATTGAACAACAGGTTTAGTTTTTGGCCTCTCTTGGCTTTCAACATGCCTTCCTCACTCAGCTTAATCATTTCTAGCTCTTGAATTAAAGTGAGATGTGTGGGACTCTTACTTTCACCTGAGCACTTAGAGGCCACTGTAGGGTTACTTATTGACCTAATTTCAATATTGTGCCTCAGGGAATAGGGAGAACAGAGGAGAGGGAGAGAGATGGGGGAACAACTGGTCAGGAAAGCAGTCAGAACACAGACAACATTTATTAAGTTTGCCATTTTATATGGGCACAGTTCATGGTGCCCCAACACAACTATAATAGTAACAAATCAAAGATCACTGATTACAGATCACCATAACAAACACAGTGAAAAAGTTTGAGATATTGTGAGAATTGCCAAAATGTGAGACACAAAATGAGCAAATGCTGTTGGAAAAATAGCACCAACAGACTTGCTCAATGCAGGGTTGCCACAAACCTTCAATTTGAAAAAAAAAAAAATGCAGTATCTGCAAAATCTGATAAAACAAAGTATGCTGTGAAACATACATAGGCTTATAGGATCTTTAAAAGTCTTGGGGTAGGAGAATGAAAGGAACTTGAACACTTATATATCCCCAGAAATTAATTCCAATTTACTTTCCTCCAGATTCTTACAATGTTTCTGCACTGCCTTTTTCTTCTCACCATCAGCTCTCAGTACATTCATTTTAATTTTCATCATATAAACCATAAAAATACAAACATACTGGGAAGTGGTGGGGTGGTGTTAATGAGCTATAGTCAACTGTAACTATGAAACTCAATTCATCTTTTTTTTTTTTTTTTTTTTTTAAGTAGGCTCTGCACCCAACATGGGGCTTAAACTCACAACCCCTGAGATCAAGAATCACATGCTCTACCAACTGAGCCACCCAGGTGCCCCAAAGCTTAACTCATCTTAACCTCTCCTCTTTTCTTCTAACTTGGCTTATATACAAACTAACCGGAGTGCCTGGGTAGCTCAGTTAAGTGTCCGACTCTTGATCTCAGCTCAGGTCTTGATCTCAGGGCTGTGAGTTCAAACTCCACATCCCTTAGAGCTTTTTCTCCTTCACACCCCAACTTTAAGTTGCTTATCTTCTCTATAACACATTTGTATACTTTCTATTCACTATGCAAACTACTCCAATCTTTTTCCATCATCTACATTCTACTAAATTTTCTCCTACATTAGCAAAGAATTTGCATTCAATCCAATGGCCATTCTGAAATGTTTATTACTCAATCCAATGGGTATGTGACCTTTTTGTGGCACATACGCTATTGACCACATACCTGTCCTTAAAACAAACCATTTTCTTTGCTTCTCTGACCACCACTCTATTCTAGTTTATACAGTTTATATGTCTAAACCCTTCATAGGCATTCTCCCTCCAAAAAATCCCTTACATGCTGGTATCCCAAGCCTCTGTCTTGAGTCAAGTTCACTTTAAAGAGAATTCATGTACTACTAGTTTCACTCACCACCAATTACTGGTGAACTTCAAACCCAATGTCTCGACCAGTTCTTTCTGAGCTCAAGACTCACACATAAAACTGCTTACTACAAACAGGTTACCCAAATGAAAATGGAATCCTCAACCCAATATATTTAAAACTAGTCTCACCCAGTCATTCACCATTTACCTTACTGCCTAAGTCAGAAAAACCTGTATGTCAGAAGGCTTACCTGTTCTGTAAAGGATGTTTAATATAGTGTTCTGGGTTAGCAACCTCCTGATTAGATTCTGTTTTCTCTTCTTCTGAAGGCGGGGGATTAGGAGTAGGGGTGGTTTCCTAATGGAAAATAATAAAACATTATTTTAAATGTCTTAACTATGATAACAATACTCTAAATCAACTTGAACTAATATTGCCAATATTCCCTTTCTAAGGAGAAAGAATTACAGCAGAAGCATTTCATAAAATAGACCACAGACCAAGCTCTAAGAAAAGCACCAGACTCTCCCATTCTAGCCATCTCTGCACTAAGAGCAAAGGGTTTCTAAAGTTTAAAAATACAGTAACAATATTATATACAGTTATCTTTCACTTACGCATTTTAGTATCAGAAAGATTGTTAGACACCATGCAACAAAATTAAGGAAATCAGCTGTCTTTCTTAACATACCATTAAAGTACTATGTACGATTTGGAGAATGGGGGGAATACAACTAATGTTGGAGAGTATAACAGCTTTATAAAGTGACCAAGTCAATACTATATAGGTCTTTCCTTCATGTCATACTGTTATATAGTAACCTAAAAGTTCTGCAACTTCTGTCATTTTCAACTAGCCCTAGGCAAAAAAGCTCGACACTGGCTTGAACTAAATCTTCTTCTTGGTTAAACATAATTAATATTGTCATCTAAAAATGTCAGGGAAAAAAGGAGCTTGTGGATGATCTGTGTTCACAGCTCATGTAGCTCTTCACCCTGTTGTAAATTATGGTCAACAAAACAGAATGCCAAGGAAAGGCACCAGAAGCTAAAAGAAAAACTGATTTTGTTCAAAAACGGCACCACAACAAGAGTCTAGGGGTCAAATTTAAACCAGCAAAACCCTTGAGATATTATGTTCACATTAACAAGATTATGTAAATCAGTTATGTAGGATCTAAAAGATCTAGCAGGCAGGTGGTAAATATTCAACTGACAAAACACATTTTTCTTAATAACATGACATGTCCAGGAATTAAATTCTACTGGCCTAAGAAATTGCTCACAGCAGGAGCTAGGTCTTGATTTTGCTCATAATTATAATGCCAATGAGCAAAGTGCTATACTCAATAGGAATTTATTGGCGTGATCACTTAAGTAATAAATTTAAATGTTTACAAAGCAATTAAGATCCTAAAATTTACATAGTCAATGCTTTAAAAATCACCATTTTTTACTGCATTTTTCCATCACAGTCAATTTACATCTTCGTATAATTACCAAAAACTATTCCTTACCCCACTAGCTTAAAATTAATGACAGTCTCCAGACAGGCAGTCTCCATGAATAAACAGGGAACAGTTAGGGACTAACAAGGCAGGTGGGCTTTGGGGGACAAAGTACTAGAGAAAAATGGGCTGCAGAGGTGTGAGCCTCAAAAAATCTATGTAAAAAGCCCTCACAGGTCCTTGGCTAGTTTAAACTGTGACATTCAGAGTACAGCAACAGCTGAGCCAAGACTTCAGAGGCCAATAACATAAGACTGGGTTCAGACCAAGCCAGAGTGGGTGGGTGAAATCCTCAGCTTTCTGATGAAATCCTAGAAAGGCCATGCCCTAGGAATCAGGTGAAACACATCTAACAAAACCTAAAACCAACCTTTGACAATATCAAGGTAATCTACCTATAAATTAAGTGCCTCCAAGAACCAAACTCTACACTCTTCAGGAGAGAACATAATCCTGTGTCTCTATGAATGTTATTTACAATACCCTACCAATCAAACATTACTAGACATGTAAAGAATTTCTTAAGTCACTAATCATCAAGAGATTAACCTGTCCACAGAAACACATCCAAGCATGATCCAAATAATGAAATTAATAACTATGATTACTATGGGAAAATAGCAAAGCCTTAATAATCAAGATTGTTACAGTAAAATAGAAGAAAAGATAAGGAGAGAGATGAAAAAAACAGTATTTGAAAATGAAACTGAGAGTGCCTAGGTGGCTTAGTCAGTTAAGCATCTGACTCGGTTTAGGCTCAGGTCATGATCTCATGGTTCCTGATTTTGAGTTCTACACTGGGCTCTGTGCTGTCAGTGTGGAACCTGCTTAGAATTCTCTTTCCCTCTCTGTTCCTCCCAGCCTTGTGCGTGCTCTCTCTCTCAAAATAAATAAACTTAAAAAAAAGGGAACAAATCTATTTTAAAGGAACCAAATGGAAATTATGGAACTGCCAAGTACAATGTCTGAAATTAAGAGCTCTCTTAATTTGATTAACAAGAAATTCAACTCAGCAGAATGTAAGACTGGTGAAATCAAAGATAAGTCAACAGAAGATATTCAAATAGAGAGAGGGGGAAAATGGATGCTAAGAAACACTGGTATCAATGACAGCCTAACTATGAAGAGAGCCCAAATGCCCATCAACCGATGGATAAAGATGATGTGGTAAATACACACACACACACACACACACACACACACACACACACGGAATATTACTCAGCTGTTAAAAAAAAATGAAATCTTGCCATTTCAACAACGTGGATGGAGCTAGTGTATTATACCAAGAGAAATAAGTGAAAGAAAGACAAACACCATATGATTTCATTCATATGTGAAATTTAAGAAACAAAACAGGTGAACATATGGGAGGAGGGAGAAAAAAGAGAGGGAAACAAACCATAAGAGACTCTTGACGATAGAGAGCTGAGGAGTTGGAAGGAGGTAGATGGAGGATGGGCTAGATGGGGGATGGGTGCTAAGGAGGGCATTTGTTATGATGAGCACTGGGAGTTGTATGTAAGTGATGAATCCCTGAATACTACTGCTGAAACCAATATTACACTGTACGTTAACTAAAATTTAAATAAAAATTTGAAGAAAAAAAAACACTGTCGAAGAGGTTTAAAAAGTTCAAAGACAAGATGAGAAAATGGGACAGAAGCAATACATAAATAATGACCAAAATATATAGTATCTCATCCGAAACTCAAATCACAGACTCAAAAACCTGAAGGAATTCCAAGCAGTAAAACACAAACAAAATTGTATCTGGGCACATCAGATTCAAACTACTGAAAACTAAATATAAAGAAGCCGTATTAAAAGCAGTTAGGAAATCGGTGTTGGGGGCGGGGGCGGATGGGTGGTTCAGTTGGTTAAGCACCTGACTCCAGCTCAGGTCATGATCTCACAGTTCGTGAGTTCGAAAGCCCTACATTAGGCTCTGTGTTGACAGCTCAGAGCCTGGAGCCTGCTTCGAATTGTGTGTGTGCGTGCGTGTGTGTGTATGTGTGTGTGTGTGTGTGTGTATGTGTGTGTGTGTCTCTGCCCCTCCCCTACTCATGCTCCTTCTCTCTCTCTCAAAAATAAATACTAGGGGTGCCTGGGTGGCTCAGTCGGTTGAGCGTCCAACTTCGGCTCAGGTCATGATCTCACGGTCCTTGAGTTCGAGCCCCGCGTCGGGCTCTGTGCTGACAGCTCAGAGCCTGGAGCCTGTTTCAGATTCTGTATCTCCCTCTCTCTCTGCTCCTCCCCTGTTCATGCTCTCTGTCTCAAAAAAAATAAATAAATGTAAAAAAAAAAAATTAAAAAAATAAAATAAATACTAAAAAAAATTTTTTTAATAAAAATAAAAGCAGTTAGGAGGGAAACACACACACACACACACACACCTAACTTTCCAACAGCAACTATGGAAGCCATAAGACAACAGAATATCTCCATGCTGAAAGAAAAACTGTCAACCTAGAATTCAATGCCTAGGAAAAATATCCTTCACAACCCACCCCACGCCACCACCACCCCACATACACACAGGTCCAACGTAAGGGGAACACCAAAGGAAAAGTCTTCAGGCTAGAGGAAGAATAAGATCCCACTAGGAACATGAAAATGCAAAAAAGGAATGAAAAGCCCTGCAAAAGGTAAATCAGTGGGTAAATATGTAAGAAACTACAAATAGTTTAAAGGAACAATAATAACGATGTCTTAGGAAGTTTAAAATATTAGTGATTGGTCCTAGCAAAGGACAGAGTATATATATGGATTTGTGAGGTTGGGTATGCAGTATATTCTTCCTCCAAAAGTTCAGTAAATTCTCTTATCTAAAAGACAAGTAAAATTTACTCATAAGTTCCAAATCCTCAATACAAACCATACTTTCAGAACATTTATTTAAACAGTTTATGTCAGCAGCACACTAAAAAATAATTAATTATAGTATGAGTAATTACAAGTTTCATGAGGTCCAAAATGTCACCTAACTCAGTATTTTCCTTTCTTTTTGGTTACTCAACTCTTCTCACAATTAGGGGAATGATGAAAGACTCAGATGGTATAAAGTCTCTGGACACATGGGAATTGAAAGCAGTTAATAACAGGAAAAAGTATATTCAGTTCCTAGAATTTAAAAAAAGTGTCTTTTAAAATTTAAAAGTCCTACCTTACTTGATGTTTTAGTCTTTATACTACGAATATATAATTTCAGATTTTTCTTATAACCAAAATACTCAACTTTAAAAAATGTGTCTGTGGATATATGAATAAGTATAATTTAAAATCTTTCAGTATTCACTTTTAATATAGAAATATGCTAGGTGTTAAGACAAATACTCTAAAAAATATATTAACCATAGACATTCATCTTTTCAGTAGTTAAAACCTCTTTTTCATAACGTAAGCAGTATTGATGTTTCTTTTATTTAGCCTTTTAAGTTACTATGTGCAGTTTAATAGTCTTCTGTTTAAAATTTTAACTTAAGGATTTCTCAAACTCTTCTAATAAAGCAAAAATGGTTTTAATAGCCAATTATTTTCAAGATGGAATACAAAATACTCTATGAAAATATCCATATGGCACAAACAAAATCTAATAAGATTTAGAAACCACTTCATGATAGAAATTACCTACGAAAACATTAACATTATACAGGGCACATTTTCAAAAAAAAAGAAAAAAAGGCATATTTTCTTGGCATACATTTTCTCATTTAGGTCATATTTTGTTATGACCATCTACTTTTCTTAGCAGTCCATTCTTTTTTTTTTTTTATGTTTATTTTGAGAGAAAAAGAGGAACAGGCACACACAAGCAGGAGAGGGGCTGAGAGAGCAGGAAAGAGAGAA